CTCGCCCCCGACCCCTGTGGACCTGGAGCTGGATTGGGTGCTGGGCAAGATGCCTCGGAAGGTGCGTGTGGGTGGGTGGGAGGGAGGCTGGTCTCCCTTCCCCACCCCGGCTCTTCAGACTCCCCCTTTGCCGACGTGCGCCTTCTCACCCGTGTGCCCGGGTGCTCACACGCCTGCCGCCTTCTGTATCCTAGGAGTTCTTCCTGCAGCGGAGTCTCCCCGTGCTGCGTCCTCTGGCCTTGCCTCCGGGGCTGAGTGTGCGCCAGGCTCTGGAGCGCGTCCTGAGGCTGCCTGCTGTGGCCAGCAAGCGATACCTCACCAACAAGGTTTCCCTGCACCCCTGCTCTGCCCCGCGTCCCCCGTGCCCTTCCCTCTGCTCACCACCCTGGCCTCCCACTCTTTGGGATTGCCGAGGGGGCTCAACAGGCCCAAGGGAGAAGTGACGGGGCCCGGCGGCCACCCTGATGGCCTGGTGTCCCCGCGCCCCGGCGTCCCTGTCCCTTGGCCTCTTGCCGACCCTGCCTGGTCCCGCAGGTGGACCGCTCCGTGGGCGGCCTGGTGGCGCAGCAGCAGTGCGTTGGGCCCCTGCAGACCCCTCTGGCCGACGTGGCGGTTGTGGCATTGAGTCACCAGGAGCTCGTAGGGGCTGCCACGGCTCTAGGAGAGCAGCCGGTCAAAAGCCTGCTGGACCCCAAGGTTGCCGCCCGACTGGCTGTGGCCGAAGCCCTCACCAACCTGGTGTTTGCTCTGGTCACCGACCTCCGGGTGAGTCCCCTGCGGCTTCTGCCCTGGGGCTGCAGGCCTCTGCGATCCACCTCCGTCCACCTCTCACCTTTTCCTCTTGCCCTTCGTGCCCAGGACCTCCCGGTCCCTGTGCCCCGGCCCGGTCTCCACGCGGCTCTCCCTCTCTAATGCCCGGTGTCCACCGCTCCCCAGGACGTGAAGTGCAGCGGGAACTGGATGTGGGCGGCCAAGCTCCCGGGGGAGGGCGCGGCTCTGGCCGACGCCTGCGCGGCGATGGTGGCGGTGATGGCAGCCTTGGGTGTGGCGGTGGACGGTGGCAAGGACTCCCTCAGCATGGCCGCCCGGGTCGGCTCTGAGACCGTGCGGGCCCCCGGTATGGCCTGGGGGGTCCCGGGGAGAGCGGGGCAGGGCCTGCGGAGCGCGGCTGGCACCTCACTGTCTCACTCCTTGCCCTGCAGGGTCGCTGGTCATCTCGGCCTATGCTGTCTGTCCAGACATCACAGCCACCGTGACGCCGGACCTCAAGCGTCCTGGGGGCAGAGGTAAACGTGGATGCTTCGCCGTCCTCGCCGCGTCATGTGTTCGGGCGTCTGTGGGTCTGTCCGCGTGCCGGCCACTTTGGCACTCGTGAGTGTGGTGGGGAGTCCTGAGCCGCTCACCTCCCTCACCTCTTCCCCGTCTCCCCAGGCCGGCTGCTGTTCGTGCCTCTGAGCCCCGGGCAGCACCGGCTGGGGGGCACAGCCCTGGCCCAGTGCTTCTCGCAGCTGGGCGAGCAGCCCCCGAACCTGGACCTTCCCGAGAACCTGGTGCGTGCCTTCCGCATCACACAGGGGCTGCTTCGAGGTGAGCGGGGCCCTGGCGGAGACGGTGTGTGTGTGGCGGATGCGTTGGCGGGCGTTCCCCGGCTGAGCTGGCGAGGCTGGGGCAAGAGGGATGCGGCGTCCCCTCTCTCTGGTTCCCACACGTGGCCTGCTGGGTGAGGGCGCGGGGCCGTCAGGTTTGGGCCCTGAGCTTGCTGAGCGTTTTTCTCCTTCCTCCAGACCGTCTTCTCTGCTCAGGCCACGATGTCAGTGACGGGGGTCTCGTCACCTGCCTGCTAGAGATGGCCTTTGCTGGGAATTGTGGGATAGAGGTGGACGTGCCTGCCCCTGGGGTCGATGGTGAGGAGCCGGGGGTCTGGACTCGGGCCTGGGTGGCCTGCAGGGTGGGCCCCGTAGACCCCATGTCCTGTGAGAAAATGGAGCATCCCCACCTCCATTCCCTGAGTCCTTTGCCATCTCCCTGACCACTGAGCCAGGTGAGTTCCCCGCCCCTGCCATCTGAGATCTCCCGAGACCCTGAGGCCACATCCTTGGTCGTGGTCTCCCAGGCCTCACCCCACCCCTGATCCTTGCCTGCGCTCACTCAGCCTTTAGCCGCCCGCCCCCCCTCGGTTGTACCTCCGCATCTCCGGTGGCACCCTTGTCACCCTCCCGCCCCCTCTGTTCCCCCAGCACTGCCTGCATTGTTCGCCGAGGAGCCGGGCCTGGTGCTGGAGGTGCGGGGGCCCGACCTGGCCCAGGTGCTGAAGCGCTACCGGGACGCCGGCCTGCACTGCCTGGAGCTGGGCGCCACGGGCGGCGCTGGGCCCCACGCCCTGGTGAGGGAGCGGGCAGCGCCTCGCGGGGGGCCGCGGTTCGCCTGTGCCGGCCCGGGGGAGGGGGGCCAGGTTGGACGTCCTCGCTCTGGCCTCTCCCCGTAGGTGCGAGTGTCCGTGAACGGGGCTGTGGTTCTGGAACAGTCTGTGAGGCAGCTGCGAGCCCTCTGGGAGGAGACGAGTTTCCAGCTGGACCGGCTGCAGGCCGAGCCGCAATGTGTGGCGGAGGAAGAACAGGGGCTCAGGGAGCGGACGGGGCCCACTTACTGCCTGCCCCCAGGCTTCCCCAAAGCTTCCGTGCCCCGAGAGCCTGGTGAGGCAATGTGTGCACAGTCATGGCTTCCCGGACACTGGGCCGGGGTGGAACCCACGGCCCGATGCCAGGGCCTGCCCTGGAGCCGCGTCTGGGGGGATGGCGGTGGGGAAGGAGCCCTCCGGCCCAGAGACCCTCCTTCCCCTTCCAGGTGGTCCCATTCCCCGGGTTGCCATCTTGCGAGAGGAGGGCAGTAACGGAGACCGCGAGATGGCAGACGGCTTCCACTTGGCCGGGTTCGAGGTGAGCGTCGTCGTCAGCGGGGCCGGGGCTGGGCCTCGGGCTCTTTGTCCTCCTGAGCTTCCCCTCCCCGTCCTGGCAGGTGTGGGATGTGACCATGCAGGACCTCTGCTCTGGGGCGATCGGGCTGGACACGTTCCGCGGCGTGGCCTTCGTGGGCGGCTTCAGCTACGCGGATGTCCTGGGCTCTGCCAAAGGTGGGCGTCAGGCTTCCGCCCACGGCCTCCCCCGCCCATTCCCGGGGAGGTGCCTTAGCTCCCTTCTTGACCGAGAATTGGCCTCTCTCCTCCCAAGTCCGGGGAGGGAGCACATTGACTCTGGGCCGGCTGCCAGCACAAGGCCGTGGCTAACCGACATGAGGTGTGGGAGCGCTGGGTGGCACATGGCTCAACCAAAGGGCACCACTCAACACCAGCGGATTGTGCTGTTAGAAAGCCGGCTCGGCACGGCCAGGTCTTTGTTTTGGAGAGAAGCCAAAAATCCAGATTTTTTT